TCCCAGAAATTTAACGTTTTGACGTCACACAGTTACAAGAAATGTTAGCTACTATGGCAATATTGTCTGCTCAACAACTGGACTTTTCTTTACTTATATTCATTAACTACCCCCGCGGTCAGTCTCATAATTAAAGGTTTAGTCTGTAGGATTTAGCACATATTTTTTTACGCTACTTGGACAGTGCCTATGCTCTTGTGTTTTTGGACAGATATCCAATGGAGACCCTGTAGCATAAGTGGGGCATAGGCGACCTGAGCCATCTGCACATACAAATTGGCATAGGAATCAGTAAATAGTTTTTAGCTGCTAACCTGAAAGCCACCTTGTAAAGAGTTACATAAGGCAAAATTATATTTTGTTTCTGTTTTGGTAGGTTACTTAATTGACGCTATAAAGCCAGGTCTCGTCACGATCAAAGCTGATACATGCCGCTCGACATAAGAAGAATCACATCCTCCAGATAATGTGTTCTAATAACAGCACAGTCTTTTTATAGATAGCTGTAATTGGTTTGTCTTTGCATCATAGTTTCTTCTCCCAAAGCGCCATCACATCTCAGCAACATTTTGGCCTCTCAAAAGGTTTTCAACCACTTCCCGTCAATTCCATTGTCCATCCTCTCTATATTTTAGCTTAGCAGATGATAATCCTACTAAGTTTGAGGTCATGATGCTTGTTTGTTGCCTACAGGCGGCTGTACAGTGGATTCACTGTTAAGGCTAAGATCTAGCTGTTTTTGAGATCCGCCGCCCGGGAGTGGGCATACATACATCCTTTTTCTAATTTTAACTCCACTACGCTTCTCAACGTGTCCTATTCATAAATTCGAGTTTATATGTCGTGTCTTGTTATTCGTTTCTGGTTGTGAGATTTGATGCATTACTTGATATAGATGACAGCCATCAACACATTTAAAATGGATGAAATTCCAATGATTAGCGAATAATTAATCAAGTGGAACAGGACTGGGTTAATGTTATCTTGTCTGTTCTTACACGGCCAAGGAATGGTGTAAGTCGAAAGACCGACTTGCCTAGCAAACAGGGCAAGAACGCGTAATAATATCAACAATGTTAACGGGTAGCGTGACATAAAAATTCTTCAGGCTGAAATGATTCAAATATTTGCTTGGGATTTCTACTTTACTCAATACTTTTCACAGATTTTCCAATATTTCCTCCATTATTCAGTATTTTGTCCACCTTTGTATGATTTGATATATCAAAGTAGATGTATAGGATCGTCGGCAATTTGGAATCTTTTCCATCGCGATCTTGCCCCCTGATTGTTCGCTCTTTGAACTGCTGCGCAGTATCCCCTAGCTTAACAGGT